TTTCAATACATTTATTTGACCAGTTAAGGTTGTTTGTCATTTTGTAAATGAAAATAATTTAACAACCTCATATTGCCCTTGAATATCCCCCTGTACACTTACAGTGGGGCAAAAAAGTATTTAGTCAGCCACCAATTGTGCAAGTTCTCCCACTTAAAAAGATGAGAGGCCTGTAATTTCCATCCTAGGTACACTTCAACTATGAGAGACAGAATGGGGGGAAAGAATCCAGGAAATCACATTGTAGGATTTTTAATGAATTAATTGGTAAATTCCTCGGTAAAATAAGTATTTGGTCACCTACAAACAAACAAGATTTCTGGCTCTCACAGACCTGTAACTTCTTCTTTAAGAGCCTCCTCTGTCCTCCACTTGTTAATTGTATTAATGGCACCTGTTTGAACTCGTTATCAGTATAAAAGACACCTGTCCACAACCTCAAACAGTCACACTCCAAACTCCACTATGGCCAAGACCAAAGAGCTGTCAAAAGACACCAGAAACAAAATTGTAGATCTGCACCAGGCTGGGAAGACTGAAATCAAATCCTGCAGTGCCAGACGTGTCCCCCTGCTTAAGCCAGTACATGTCCAGGCCCATCTGAAGTTTGCTAGAGAGCATTTAGATGATCCAGAAGAGGATTGGGAGAATGTCATATGGTCAGATGAAACCAAAATAGAACTTTTTGGTAAAAACTCAACTAGACGTGTTTGGAGGAGAAAGAATGCTGAGTTGCATCCAAAGAACACCATACCTACTGTGAAACATGGCGGTGGAAACATCGTGCTTTGGGGCTGTTTTTCTGCAAAGGGACCAGGACGACTGATCCGTGTAAAGGAAATAATTAATGGGGCCATGTATCGTGAGATTTTGAGTGACAACCTCCTTCCATCAGCAAGGGCATTGAAGATGAAACGTGGCTGGGTCTTTCAGCATGACAATGATCCCAAACACACTGCCCGGGCAACGAAGGAGTGGCTTCGTAAGAAGCATTTCAATGTCCTGGAGTGGCCTAGCCAGTCTCCAGATCTCAACCCCATAGAAAACCTTTGGAGGGAGTTGAAAGTTCGTGTTGCCCAGCGACAGCCCCAAAACATCACTGCTCTAGAGGAGATCTGCATGGAGGAATGGGCCAAAATACCAGCAACAGTGTGTGAAAACCTTGTGAAGACTTACAGAAAAGTTTGACCTCTGCCAACAAAGGGTATATATAAGTATTGAGATGAACTTTTGTTATTGACCAAATACTTATTTTCCACCATAATTTGCAAATACATTCTTTAAAAATGTGATTTTCTGGATTGATTTTTTTTCTCATTTTGTCTCTCATAGTTGAGGTATACCTAGGATGAAAATTATAGCCCTCTCTTCTTTTTAAGTGGGAGAACTTGCACAATTGGTGGCTGACTAAATACTTTTTTGCCCCACTGTATATGCTTTCACAAAATACATTAGAGCAAGCAGTGCAAGATTTGCTAATGAAAAATTGATTTAAAAGTTTGATTGATTTCTCCTTGATTTTCAAAAGGTACAATTGGAGTCAGAGGGTCACACTGCTGTACAGCCAACCGAGTTCTTCCTTGGTGAGGATTGTCATTCATCTCTACTCATCATCCTCAGGAATGAAGACATTGCAGAGCACATTTGTGAGGTAATTGTTCTGCTTGAGACAAAGATTATGACAGGACTTTTTCAATTCACGCATTAATGACTCTGATATTTCAGGTCCCGCATTTGCTTGAGCTCAGGAAGTCCCCAGTTGTGCAGTTCACTGGAATTGACGAACCAGATGATGTTGTGAATCTAACCCATCAGGAGCTTTTCACAAGGGGTGGCTTTATAATGTTCGACAGAGCAGGCCTGGAGCACCTGAACCTTTGTAGGTGCACTTTTCACTGAAAAAACAAATTATTGTTATTTCATATTGTGTCAATTAAGCAGACAATTGTACTCATTATATAAACTTTGTATTCATTTTAAGGCAACATCAAAAAAACGTCAGAGGTTTTGCAAGAGCTAAGCAAAACGGGGAAGTGGAAATGGATGTTGCACTACAGAGACAGCCGTTGGCTAAAAGAAAATGCAAGGTAGGGGTTAACTTTTGAAAAAATGTCTACAAAAAACCTCCCTATATAGCAATACACAGATGTTCAAACTTATTTGGGATCATTTATACTATATTTCTGACCTGGCACTAACCGTGGTTTTCCATAAATTGAGATATTTAAATTGAGATATTTTTCACAGATTTTCCTAATATTTTCAGATACCATAGTGTCATCATTTTATGAAAGAATAATGCCGATTGCAAAGTTTAAAACCTACTCTCATATGCAGGTTGAGTTTGGAGGGAAAGGAGAAGCAGAACTTCCTGAACTGTTGCCAAGAGGCTGGAATATTGGAGATCTTGCCTTATCATGAGTGCGACCTCATGTCAAGAGATGGGCCAGACTACCTTGCTTGTTTGGTCCGTTTGCAGGTCCAGAATATATCAGCACGTTACCCTGTGTTTATAACCGGTGAGACACTAATCTACAAATACATTATCTGTACCTTTTACATTCAATGAGACTCACGATACTGTCGTTTAATTTTGAAGATGCCGTTTGCAAGAACTCTACAATTAACATCCCAGTAATTGCTTTCAATGCTTCATTTGATTGGACTTTAAAAAGATCCTCAAAAGTCAACCTGTAGAAGTTTTAGTCATTGTACAGTGCAAAAAAATGACATGTTTTTCTTATTCTTACAGACACAACGGCAGAAAACGCATTTGGAAAGAAAGGAATATTAACAATGACTTTCGACTCTTTCCTGATGTATTCTCCAAGCTTAACACGTACAGCCTGAACTGGAAAAAGTCAGATGATGTATCTTAAGTTGTGCTATTCAAGAACACAACAATAACAAAAACTCACTCGATGGGAAGGAGAACCCGTAATTTACCTTGTTATGGTGATTTCAAACCTACTACATTTTATTATTTATTTTTCGATGAGGCCTTCAGCAGTTAATCTCTTTTGTATGAAGCAATAACTATTGATTTGTTATTTGACATTATTTTTCTATAATTGTTTGCAAGTTATCGTTCAGTTAATGGATAGAGCTACACACATAAAGGCAGGTATAGTGTATATACTGTATGCATTTTGTAAATTGTATTTTTACAGTGTATACTAAGTTGTGTTGTGTTAAATGTTGACTTCATTCAAGGAGGTGAAACTGAACATTCAGTTTGCTTTGGTTAGGCAGGGTTTTTGTACGAGCATGGCTCAAAGAAGAACCAATACAGCCATGACATTAGTGTTTCAGGCGGTTTCAAATATTTTATATTATTTAAGTATTTTGACAGTGATTCTTAATTATTGACTTTTAAATAGTTGAAGCAAAGCAATTTATAATTTTGACTATGCACTTATTGTGTTAATATTTCATGACTGTATAGAGATATTTTACTGAGAATAAAGTGATTTGTTTGTTTTGTTTTAAGGAAAAAAAAAATGTTTCAATAACAATGTAAGCTTTGGGGGAAGACTCAGGTTTTAAGTTACTTTCAGTCCATTCACACATTGGCAATACAAAGCCACTCGTAAATGAAAAATATTACATTTCAATATCAGTAGACAAAATTGGGATGTGCAAATCTATCCAAAGTGCTTTTACCCGATCCTTAGCATGTTATGCTATTTGTGGAGTTTAATCAAATTAAGTTATTGAATAATACTGCATAATAATGCCGGAGGAATTCTGAGGTGAGGGAGGTGTGAAGGTAATGTAAAAAAAGAAAATGTCTGACTGCACATTATGGCACATGCCTGAGTTCTGCTGATTTATTCTCCAGCTCATAGCCTCATCCATTCAAGCCCCAGGAAGTGCGCCGGACTCTGATGAAAATATTCATGTGTCCAAGCGGCGGTACTACAATTTCCGTATCAGTCCGTGACGTCACTGGGCCCATAAAGACTTTTCCCCATTGACTACAATGGGAAAAGAGACGTCTGTAAATCAGCGGATACTTTTTAAAAAACGAATTAAAATACCCAGTATGAACTATTGTATAGCCCTTATTAGAATCATTCTGTCCTTAAAGTTGTAAAATGCACTAAAAGCCGAATCTAGATTTATGTTCTGTCTCCATTCATTCTACTGTGAGCGTACATACCATATACGGGTGCTTCTGCTCTGACAGCTAGGCATGATGGGTAATCTGTGACGTTTCGCTCTCTGAAAATGTGGGCCATTTTGTCCTCATGCGCCAAGGAGCAGCTGTCATAGGAAAGAACGAGACCCCGCCTCCGACGCTGCATCCAACTCTGTTCCCTTCTCTTTCTGACTCTTTTGGAGGTGGGGATTCACCGGGCCGTAACTGCCTGATAAAGCTTGTTCTGCCAGTTTGTCTGTATTTTTCAAGCTGTTTGCAACCTCACTCGGTGTGTCCCCTCCTTTTTTTAGCTGATCAATGTGCTTCTTAGAAACTTATTTGTGTGCTTACACCCTTTATTTTTTTCTTGGTCCATCTGTAACTAAGCATCCGTGACTTTTTGATGAAGCAGCCAGGAGCTTAAACAAAAGTATTTTGGATCTAGATGAGTACTTTATTGATTCTAAATTGGGGAATTATTTTCGAGCCACCCCCCCTAGAAAAGAAGAAGGTAAAAGGTGTCTACATCGCTGGACTATGTAACAGAACAACACAGCATAAATAGTAACACACAGTAAATCAATGGAATTAAAATAAAGTATGTGAGTGTGACTAAGCAAGAAAGTTTCAGTGTCATAACATCCGGAAATGAAATTGAACCGACTCTCCTTAAAAACATGTATATCCGTAGGCTCCTTCACAACATTCACCCTAAAATAAAGCTGAAGTCAACAGTTTATACATCAATGCGGATGCAGGAAAACGCGCTGTCGGTGTTTTCTCCTAATTCAGCATGACACAGCGGATGTGAAGTAAAAACCGAAACTGACCGTCGGTGTGCAACGTTAAAACCTCCCACTTAAATCGCTTGTAAATCGTTTTGATCCAGTTCCGTTCAGCCACATCTAAAGTAATTCATTAACCAATCCAACAGATTACCTGCCCCAGTTTGTGATTCATATCATGAACAACATTTATTGGACTAACGCATGGATGTATAAAGTGAACTGGATACTGCGTCGGATTCGGAAGCGGAGCACCGTACATTCCTAAAAATTGCTCGGTTGCGCATGAAGCTCAAAATGTAGCGACTGATTCAGAAAGTACCCGGATCATCCGGGGCCTTTTACTTATGGAGCGTGCGCACTTGCGTTTTCCTTAAGCCCCGCCTCCGATATCTTGCTCTCGGCTCAGTCAAATTAATGGAGATGAATGATTTAAACAAGGGCTAAATAAGGGTTCGTGCTGGGTCGTTTATTTCGCAAAAAAATAAGTATTCGCTGATTTACAGACGTCTCTTTCCCAATGTTAGTCATTGGGAAAATGGTTTTAGGGGAAATGGTTGAACTGACGTCAAGGACGCTGTCATGACAGTTGCACGGTTGCTTTTTTCACTACGGCCATTCAAAAAATCCGCTTCAGAAGCCGTCGCACTTCCTGGGGTTTGGATTATGACAAACGAAGTCGTTGCTGCGCAACTTTAACCGTTGGTGAGCACCTCGAACACAGCGGAGCCGTGGAGGCGGACGCTGATTTCTGCGCATGCCCAGTCTGAATTTCGGGGATGGGTCTATCGATGGAATCAAGATGGCGACTCTGGCGAAAGCGCCAATATATTTACTGAAGTAGATGTTCAAAATCAACCGCAGTAGCGTGTTTTCTCAAGCCCCCGAGGGGTTCCGTGAAACATGAAGACTGGGAACATGTTTTGGGAGTGGAACTGACCGGGATTAATACCGTAACAAAGTCAGCGAGATGTGTGAGAGCTATGCCCGCTCGCTGCTGCGTGTTTCGGTGGCGCAGATCTGCCAGGCTCTGGGCTGGGATGCGGTTCAGCTCACTGCATGCGATCAGCTGTCCGATGTGCTGCATCGGTACATCCAGCAGCTGGCCAAAGTCTGCCACCGGTACTCTGAACTCTGTAAGTGCTCGGTTTAGTCCCCAGATTACTTTTAGTAACCGGTAAACCTGAAGAAGTCGATCACGTTGTTGTTGACTGGTTCTGTGGCTGGCGCCCCCTAGCAAAGGTTGATGTGTCAAAAAGTACAGTAGCTACAGAGCTAAATAGCCTTCATGTGTTCATTGTTATTATTATGGCTATGATGCCCTTCAGCTGTGTTCCACAATGTGTTAGTCGATTAGTTACCTAAGTATATTGTACCTATCTGTAAAATGATTCACTCCTCTAACCTGTTGAGTGTTTGGCTACTTCTTGCTTCAAAGATTCAAGATTCAAAGGTTGTATTGTCATATTCACAGTAGTTACAGTGTAATTATGGCAATTCAACTCTTAAGTCCCAGGCACCTCCAACAAAGCAAAAATAAACAATATATACAAGACTTAAAACACATTTTAAATACACAATATGTGCAAGAAGAAACAGATTAGAACTAGAATAGTGCAAGACCAATGTGCAAGTAATGCAGAAGAAGTACACTTCATACATGTCAAATGAAATACAATAAGTTACATGTTGTAAGTGACCAATTAAATGCAGGAGTCTATATACATGCAAATAGAATAAGATAAACAAGAACAGCATGTCAAATGAAATACTGTGCAGTGAAATTAATACGGCTTATTGTAGTATGTAGATGCAAAATGTTGAATGTCAACATCACTCAGGGCACCTCGTTGTATGTGCAGCACAATCACTTGTATATAATCAATCTTTTGTCCAAGGCTATCATCAACCCTTACAGAATAGTTAAGTGAACAAGATGCATTTAGAGTGTGTTTGCAGTGGTTTCATGTCTTGTTGTGCTGCTGCATTTCAGATGGAAGAACAGATCCTGTCCTGGATGATGTCAGCCAGGCCTTCAGACTGCTGGGGGTGAGTCTGAGTGAACTGGAGGACTACGTCCACAACCTGGAGCCTGTGGCCTTCGCCCAACAAACGCCACTCTTTCCTATCAGCAAAAACAACGTCTTGCAGTTTCCCCAGCCTGGAGCCCGAGATGCTGAGGAAAGGAAGGAATACATTCCAGATCACATGCCACCCCTGGTCTCCTTAGAAGATGGTCAGTTCATATAATGACAATACAAATGTGCACATCTGTGATTGTTTTAATGGCTATTTTTGGCTGTTCTATTAATTGTTTTCAATATTTGATTCACTTAATTTCTATCAATAATTGTGGACTCAATATTCTGTAAACTCTGAGCATAACATTTTGCAAAAGCATAAAACGACATCCTCTAAATGATTCCTCTAAGATCTTTAGTAATAGCTAAATATACCAAGGTTATAACATGACAATCATACATTTTATTTTCTTGGTTGCAGAGAACGGAATAATAATTGTAGTAAACATCAACAGCATCAACATCAAAAGCTAAACCATGCAAAATTATATATTTTTTAACTACTATCACTATTATTATATATTTATATATAGATCAAGAAGAAAGAGCGGCTGGTACAGTTTTATTGGTACATTATTATCCAGTGTATAAAACCATATTTTTGGTCAAATCAGTTCGGATTTGTCATTAACATATCCTGTACATGTGTTAGAACATGGCTGTGTTAGTGAGAATCCTTGGACTTAAAATTGAAAATGCTCAACTCTTTTTTTGTCCTTTTCCTCTCCAGAAGAGGAGGAGGAGGAGGTCCTTCCTGACATGGGCACCTCAGCCGAAGCTATGCAGGTGGCACTGGAAGAGGACGACGAGGAAATAGACGAAGATGAGACGGTCAACGATGAGAACCACCCACTGAAGAGGCACCGGGACCTGGACAGTCCAGATGCAGCTTTGGGCATGATGCCTACTAAAAGACCCCGCATGTACCCCGGCCTCAGCCCAGAATGGGGGGTTGAGCCCAGGGAGCCTCTTACCTCTCTCAACCCTCAACGTGTTCCCCCAGGCATGCTGCCTTCTCATGATAGCCTTGACCCCATGTCTCCTGAAACACCTTCTGGAGCCCTGCCTTCCTTCAGACCTCAGCCAGTAGTACCAAAACACTCTGATCAAAAGGGCCTCACCACTCCAGGAAGAAAGCCTAAGGTCTCGTCACCTGGCAGACAACGGACTAAGTCCCCAAAAGGGGTCCTTCCTGTTCCGGTGGGAGGTAGTCCCCTCCATTCACCTAAAACGTCTAAGGAAAGAAAGAAATCCCCGGGGAGAACGAAGAGTCCTAAAAGCCCCAAGAGCCCAAAGACAGCTTCAGCCAAAGCATCCCAACCCCAGAGCAAGTCGGATGTTGTGCACAAGCTCCCGATGTCTGCGCTGAGCGAGAGGATGGGCAAGGAGAACATCCATATGCGTCAAAATATAGAGGACAGGGAGTTAGATGAGGGCCCCTTCAAGACACTAGAGCCTGAAAGTGCAGACATCGAGGACTCCATCGATGCTGTGATTGCAAGAGCGTGTGCTGAGCGGGATCCGGATCCTTTTGCTTTCTCCTCGGGCTCTGATTCGGATAGCAATGGAATCTCCAGTCCAAGGAGGCTGACCATCATGGAGCCAACTATGCCTAAACTCCAGATTGGGATCTCTGCGAAAGACACATCAACACCGCTTCACCTACAGGCACACGCAGGACCCGGAAAATGGACTATGGATGATTCGATCAATGAGGTGATCCGAAAGGTCAACCAGGGGGGTCCTTCTGCACCCCAACAAAGCCAAGGGGAGTACGTCTCGTCGGGATCAGCTTCACCGCCTACACCTGAACCTTTACTCAAGTTGTTTGAGGAGAAGAACAAGATGGTGCCATCAGTAGACGTGAAGAAAAAGCTGAAAAAGGAGCTCAAGACTAAAATGAAGAAGAAGGAGAAGGACAAGCCGAAAGACAAAGATCGGGAAAAGGATAAGGGCAAGCTGAAAGAGAAGAACAAGGATAAGAACCGGGATAAAAACAAGGACTTTTTCAAGGATGGAAAGATGCCCTGGAAGGAGTTTGGAATGAAGGATGACGAGCACTTCCTTCAGCGAGACTTCACTCTTCCTGAGGGCTCCATCAAGATAAAAACCAGAGATGTAGATGTCCCTAAGAAGGAGAAGGAGAAACACAAAGACAAAAAGAAGGATAAAGAAAAGAGTAAAAAGGACAAAGATAAGAGGGACAAGGGTAAAGACAGGAACAAGGAGGACCGGCAGAAACAGTCTGCGTTAGCGCCCTTCGCTCTGGGTGAAATCCCCCAACTGTTCAGCGCCGCTTCCTGCCTGCGCATCCCCTCTATGCTCCCTCCTCTGGCCCCGATCCTCCAGGATAAGGAGATAAAGAGCAAGGAGAAGGACAAGAAGAAGGACAAGAAGGAGAAGAAGAAAAAGAAAGACAAGGAGAAGGATAAGGAGCGAGAGAAGGCCAAAGAAAAGGAGAGAGAGAAAGAGGAGAAGAGGAAAGAAAAGGAGAGGGAAAAAGAAAAGCGGGAAAAGGAGAAGGAGAAGGAAAAAGAAAGAATTCGGTTGGAGAAGGTAATTTTATTTGTTTGATATGTCATGATGTGTTTGTTTTAGAGCAGGCGTGTCAATCTCAAGGCCCGGAGGCCAAATCCGGCCCGCGACTTCATTTTATGTAGGGCTGCTCGATTATGGCAAAAATCATAATCTCGATTATTTGGGTCAATAATTGATATCACGATTATTAAAAACGATTATCCATTTACTTTGAAAACATCCATTTATTGAAAAAATAAATTCAAAAATTGAACAGTATGTTTTTAACAGTTGATTACCCTGAACTTTAAGTATAATTCAACTGATTTTTTTTTTTTTATATTAGTTTTATTTCGATTATGTTGTTTTCATAAGCGTTGCAAGTAAAATCGTAATTGCGATTAAAATATGATTAATTGAGCAGCCCTACCCACAAGAGCTTGCAAAGAATATAATATGTTTGTTACATGGCGAATTACAGAAGCACGTTGCCCATAAACTACATATCCCACAATGCATCTCTCATTTGACTTTTTTCTCAGAATTGACTTTTTTTCAAAATGTTGCTTTTTTTCTCAAAATGTTACTTTTTTTTTGTTGCTTTTCTTTTAAAATCATTTTTGATTTTCACTGAACGGACTTGCAATTATTTGCCCTAGACGTCTGCTTTCAGACCGAGTTAATTATGAAGTGATTACCCTATCCAAGAATAATCCAATGCTTAATGATGTAATATAATACATTATTTTATATATATTAAATATTTATATATGTAGTTTTATATAGTCTTAAAGTTACAACCGGCCCTTTGAGTGCAACCATAATGCGAATGTGGCCCGTGATGAAATTGAGTTTGACCCCCCTGTTTTCGAGTGTCATTGATGTTTACCACGTCCTTCATGTTTCCTCAGGTGAAAGTAGAGACTCCAGTAGTTCTGCCTTCTCCAGTGATCCCCAGACTGACGCTCAGGGTGGGAGCAGGCCAGGACAAAATGTAAGCACTCAATGAATGTTCCTGGAGATATCATGTTTCTTCCATCACCTCTTTTCATGTATCGTGATCTCCTCTCTTCTTCTCTTTTTTGTTTTTAAATGTAAATGGTGTTTATCTGCAGCAGTATAATTATGACATATTTTATTAGTATTATTTATTATTCCAATTTTACAAAGTTTCCTTAAAGTGCCTTTTCAATTTCACAAGTTTAAATACAAATACTACATGTTTCATTGCCTTTGTGCTTCAAATGACACATTTAGTTATATCATTATCATCATTTGTCTTTCTAGATTTTCTTGACTGTAACATCTCAGTTCAGACTAGAATGTCAAATGTTCGTTTGGGTTTCCAATATTCAGTACAGTATGCCATTTACATTTGGTATAATGATCTTGGATTCATGTAATTCTTACATGAATGTTTTTCATTTATCTTCAACAAAAACTATACAGCTCTACACAGTGACTCTCAATAGACCGCAAAAAACACGCACTTTTTTTTATTTGACTGAAACAAAAGTTATGCTCATCAGGAAAAGTACATTTTCACCAAAATAAAAGCCCAATAAATACTAAAAAGTTAAATCTTTTAAATCTCACCTTTTAACTTTTCCTCACTATTAATATAAATTGATCTTTAATTTGTGTATGTGTGATTTTGCAAGACACATGGCCTTAAAATGGGGTTAAATTGTACAGCTTACACAGAGAGAAAAGTCTCATAATATCATATATATATATATAGCCGTATAATTATGACATACTTTATTATTAATATTAAAGTTATTATTTATTATTCCAGTATTGACATTTTCCTTAAAATGCCTCTTCAGATTCATAGTCTTTTTTTATTCTTTTCATACAGTACTTCCTTACTTTTCAAAATGTTGTTGTTAAAAGGATCAGGAAAAAAACATCAGTAGTCAATAATCCAATAAAAACAAAGAAATTCATTAAAAATAGGTGTTATTACTACGTGCTACATTGCCTTTGTGGTTCAAATAATTCTAACATTGAGTTATATTCTTTAAATTGTACAACTTACACAGAGTAAAGTCTCCTAATATTATTAATAATGACATATTATTATACTATTATTACCTCTTCTAAATACCACAATTATTATCATTGTGCTAACTAGTATTTATCTCTCAATGGGTTTCCAGTGTCATCAGCAAGGTGGTTCCGAACTCGGAGCCCAGGACGCCGGTACCCAGGACCCCCGCCTCCAAGTCTGGACCAGGGAACCGACCTCGGACGCCGCCTCCAGTCCTCGTGCCGGTCATCCCCATCCTGCCTCCAGCGCCCTCTCCTCTTCCACCAGCTCCTGCCACTTCATCGCTGCTCTCCGCGGCCCCGATGCTCTCCCCCGCCGCATCCTTCAAGACGCCGGTCCGGAGCGTAGTAACAGAGACGGTCAGTACATACGTGGTGAGTGCTTGTACGTTATTGTTAATTGTGCATAGTATAACAGTCTATGCATATGAAACACGACTACATGCATTTCCTATCATCACTTTTCTTGACTCTTAAGGTGGGCAGTAAATTAAAACACCTAAGAGATACTAACTATATGGTTATTCAAGATTTATTCTACTATTGTGTCATGGAGCAGTGTGTTACTTTTGTTTTCTGTTGTTTGCATTTCCGGTAGATACGAGATGAATGGGGAAACCAGATCTGGATTTGTCCTGGATGCAACAAAGCTGATGATGGCAGTCCCATGATAGGATGTGATGACTGTGATGAATGGTATCATTGGTAAGAGACCTACTTCAGTTTTATCTTCAGGCCTTATGACTCCCTTCATTGTGTTTTGAAATAACATCGTTCTGCATAGTTGACAATTAGGCTTGACTTTAACCAATTACAGATTTATAATTCACTGATTTGCACAATTGGGTGGTACCGATACACAAAAATAGTGGGATGATATGTTTTCAGTACAACAGAGAAAACATTTTGGTGTAAAATGATGACTCATTGGCAATTACAGGGCTGGAAAAAGGTTAGTAGCAAAAAGTGAAACATATGTCAGTAATCCACTATTACATTACACTATAAACACTAAACTGTGCACTAGGGCTGCACGATATTGGAAAAAACTGATATTGCGATATATATATTTTTCCCCAGCGATATATTGCGATTAGGGCTATCAGTCGATTAAAATATTTAATCGTGATTAATCGCATGATTGTCCATAGTTAATCGCGATTAATCGCACATTTTTGATCTGTTCTAAATGTACCTTAGAGGAATATTTTTGCGTGCGTGCGCTGGAGCTATGTGCAACTCAAGGCATATGCTCGAACGGAGCTGCCTGGACGCTGCAATCATGTTGCGCACTATCCGTGCTGACTTTTCGTACAATGTCCCACTGTCTGGCTTCCTGCATAAAGTCAAGTGCTCGGCGCAGTTGTGGCGAAATGTCGCTCCTCTGTTTTCATTTAAACAGCTCCTTATATCCGTTAGCGCAGCTAGCTAGCACCAGATGCTAACAACAACAATGCACGTAAGGTCTCTCTCGCTCGCTCGGGCCACACATACACACACCCTCCCGGTCCTCCCAACAGCCAGTCGGTGCCTGCCGGTGAGCGTGGAAGTGTGGTCTGCCACAAGCGGGCGGCAGGAGCGGGGCTGTCAGCATCAGCTTGTAGACGGTATTTTAAACTCGATGCGCTCTGAAACTACGGGGCGGCCGAGGACAAAAAATACACATGCGTTAATCGCGTTAAAATAATTAGTGGCGTTAATTTTTTTTGCGTGAACGCGTTATTAACGCGTTAACTTGACAGCCCTAATTGCGATATGAACAAAATACAGGAATTGAAGAAAAGACAGTTTTTTTTAGCGCAAACCATCCTTTCTTGAACTTTAATGCTATACAATTGGTATTTTTTGATCTATATTTAACCGGATGAAGGATTTTAGTCACGGACGTCTGGATCTTTAGTTATCAGAGCAACGAGCTAGCTCGGTTAGCAGCGCCGAACTGCCCTGGAGAAACACATGAAACTACTTTATTCAGTGTTTTTACCTTTAATCACCGGGTCCGTTTGCTTTGGAGATTTGATTGTGATTGGTGGTTTGCTGTGCATGCAGAGCCTGCTTGTCACTCACTCAAGTGCCCCTGACATGAGAGCCGCGCAAGTTTTCCTTTTGTAGCAAGCAGCAAAAGAATTGTAACATGACGTGTTTGAGTTAATTTGCCTACTTAATATCGCACGTCGTAAAAAAATGTACGTCCTGCGATGTGAATATCGCGCATATCACGATTATCGTCACGACACGATATATCGTGCAGCCCTAATGTGCACATTTATTAGCAATGTCCTCTTTACATATTTACATAGAAATATCTGATGTTCGTTTTACTGTAGATGTATGTATCTATAGCAAAACTAACAACATGTTTGGAAAAGATTCACTTTTCTTTTGAACTCAATGCTGTTCATCATGTGTAGGCTTAGCTTTATGTGTATTACTGAAACTGATCAACAGACTGCTTACTTTTTGTGGTTGTAAATTGAAATTTCCGCCCTAATTTTATTCCTCCCCCTTATTGTAGCAATTCACAGCAAGGAGGACGTCAGGGACACTCAGCGAGAGACAGAGACAGAGACAGTCAGAAAGAAAGAAAGTGAAAGAGAGAGATGACACAGCATAAAGTTCATACAGTTCAGAAATTAAACAAATATTTAATGTTCAGTTCAGTTCTCTTGTGAATAAATGTATTCTCTGAAACAGTGGCCTTATGTGGTTGTTTTTCAGCCTTTCTATCTCCAACATGTTACTGCAACTTGTTCTACATGTTGATTCATTCACACACGCTGAGGACATTATACAGGAGTTATTTTCACATTTTATTTACAATATTATGATATTCAAATCATAACTAGGGAGAGACAAAGCAAATATTTGTAAAATCAACACTCAGTAGCCACATATATACATGTAGTAGAGGAATACATGGTGTTGCCAACCCTTTAGTTTGTTTTGAGTTTGCAGAGACATAACGTCACCAAACATTAACAGGATGCCACACAGCTTTCATCCTTTCTACTTTGTCCAGTTGAATTATGTATGTTCATGCTATTCAAACTATGAACAGCAACTTACACATTGAAGAATGTTTAGCTAGTGCCTCGTTTCTTTATTCAATAGAAAACATCACTATACTCAAAGACTCTACCCACTAGTAGTGATCGACATATTTGTCCTTTTTCATAAATTGTCCTGCTGTCAAAGCTTTAATCATTCGGGGAATATCTGCATTTAGTCGCATGTGTTAGCCTTTCCTGGCTAGACAACTTCATGGACTCTTCAGACGTTGATGAACAGTTGGTCTGTCCGTTTTTTCTATTTAAGTGTTATAGAGATTGTTTGCATTTTTGAAGTGGGGTTGCATGAGGTGCCTTTCCATATTTCCATAGTCAGTGCCTAACTTTAACAAAAGTGGTTGGCAGCACAGTCCCATTTAAGGTCCTGAGCTATGCAAGGTACTGCTGTGGAAGGGGGAACTATATTACAAACTATATTTTAGCTACGCCTAAAAAGCAATATCAACTTAATTGTTCACTTCATTTAGAGAATTTACACGCTTTACCTTGCCGTCATTCTGCCTTTTCCGTTGGAGAAATCCAGCTGTTATCTATGTTCTGCCACAAGTCTATATTTAACAAACAGTCATTTTGGCCTCCAGAGCATGGAGTTTCTGGTCTACAGCTGCCTCGATCAGTTAGTTTGTGTTATTGCGTGACTTTGGGGAATCCAAACTTATATTCTTATCTCATATACCCTTAATCGTCCCACAGAGGGGACATTTACATTCTGCATTTGACCCATCCTAGTGTTAGGAGCAGTGGGCTGCCATTGTGTACAACGCCGGGAGAAACCAAACTAACCAATGTCACACAATAACAAACAAAAGCAGCAGATTCTTCCAAGGAAATTGTTTAAATTCTGTGCACACATTCCTGTCTGTCATCTACTTTCAGTAATGCATTCCCCATTGGTACCTCATACAACACTTAAAGAAATATCCCTTTAAGCTTATGTAACAGTTATTATTCAGTTTACTGGGTATATCCAAACTCAATAACTGTTGGGGACTATTGCTCTTCCTTTTAAATCCCTGCTAGAGAAATATGTGTTTCTTTCATTAACCTGAACCCTCTTCTATTTGTTTCTGCTCAGGCCTTGTGTTGGGATCCTTACCGCTCCTCCTGAGGACCAGCAGTGGTTCTGTGTTAAATGTTCCAGCAAAAAGAAGGACAAAAAACACAAGAAAAGGAAACACAAACTGCATTGAGACTATGCAAAAAGCACATTTTTGAACTTTTTTGGACTTGAAGCCATCACTGAACACTCGTGGCACTGCTGTAAAATAAAAAAAGAAAGTTTAAAATTGAGGCTGTTACTAACATCTGATGATTTTTAATAATGATGTCAGCCATGATGCGTTGTAAGTTCGAAGGAAGAAAAAAGGCTTTAACCAGCACATATCCAGCCTTAGTTCTCGTGTGGACTCCGTGGGTTTCTCTTTTCACCTGTACACTGTTTGCTTGTTGTTTTGGTTATCCAGTCGTAGGAGATCCTGACAATTACGTCCGTATAAGGTGACCATGACAATTTGATGAGAGCTCAAAAAAGCAGAAAACCAGAGAACAACTTAACATCATCGTCTTTTTTTCTGTTTCCTTTGTCGCCACAAAATGAATGACCACCAAGTCAGACCTTTCCCCAGTGTCCTGCAGTATCATTGACCTGTCATGTATATAATGATGATGGAATCAGGTGTGTATAAATGTGTCTACCAACTTCCAAGCAAAGTGCATTTTGTTCTTAGGATTTCTGACTTGTTAAATCCATTTTCAGATATTGGTTTTTAACTTGAGTGATTTTCTGTAATTTCTGTACATTTTTTTAAATTTAAAGTTTGTATTTTTATTATTTCTTCACATGGATATGTCCTGGAGTTAATACTGTAGCTGTGCTTGTAATGTAATTCATTTAGCTGATATTTCAATATTAAAGTTGATCGGTCTGTGTACTCACAGACTTTACGATGTAAATCTCAATACAATCAAAAGTGTATGCTAAATTTCCTTTCAACCACTTCTGTGTATCCTTGTTTAATTACATTTTAAACAACACTGCACTGAATATACTTTCCAGTCGCTGATTGTTTGAATTTGCTTGGAAAATATATCAGATAGGAAATCTTTTAACAAACTACATTTCAGATGTTGAATTTATTTCCTACTAATTTTAGACTTTATAACAAAACTATTTGTGTCAGCAGTCAAATCTTTGATCCTGACTTGCAGCAGTCTGTGCAACACATTAGCGCGGATTTAGGGCTTTTTTTGTCTAGTTGTCATCTTGCACTTAACCTACATAAGATATTTAAAAGAGTGCTTGGCAGTCACATTGCACAGGGTGGCGTTAAAAGATATGTTGTGGATTGTAAGCAAATATTTTCTTATGTCTTTAGAAGTCTGTCTGATGATGCTTCCTGTTCAGTTAATATGCAGCAGAGCACTTTTTGCTTTCCCCTCAATGGCCACATGGTGTCATTCTTTATACACGCACACTAGCATGCGGCTCATGACATGTACAGACTCCACAGCAGGCTCACACAGAAAAGGACCTCACAAACCACTTTATGAATGTAAGAAATGTGACAGGTGTCTCTAAGTTGATGCATGTGGAATCCTTATCTCACAAGTAAAACCAGCTCCAGGAGGGCCCTCCCTCACTAGAGTACCTATAGCTGATTGCAAACAGAATTTACGGCCTCTCATAAATATAGATATACATAAGAGACTGAGATAGTTGTGTCTTTCGGTGTTATTATTTTTTACAAGGCACGTTTTGCATTCGGGTCAAAAGTACCAGTGAACGATTTGCAACTGTTATGTCTATCGTAGAAGGTTTTATAACCACTGAAGTATAACTTCACGTACTGAACTCTGAAAGGTTGAGATGTTTATCAGACTCTGTGCTTCTATTTCTGGCAACAATCAGCAGACAGATGCTGTCTGGAACTACTATAGCATAACTTTATCGTGGTGGAAAACTATTTAATGATTTATAAACTGTAGCAGTACTTTAAAATCAATTAGTTGACGTGGTGTGATGTGCAGAGCAGCATTGATCTGAATAAGATGTCAGAGAGCTCTTAGGAAAACCTGAGGAAAGCACATTAAAGTCGTTCAACCTACAAAAGGGTAAAAGCATGGCTTACTCTAATTCAATCTTGTTCAGTTAATTATGTTCTAATGCTGTTATATTTTTTGGGTGATAGGCACATTTTTGTCTGTATTGTTATTAAAAAACGTGTTCTTAATCATGATTTAACCCGAATGTCTTTCAGTCTTTCTACCAAGGAAATGGTGGCACACCCACTCACTGACTTTTTTGGTGAGTTCAGTCACAGAGGACACTCATAGTTTAGTAATATAAAGGACTTAAACTCCATCGAAGGCCTTCATTATATATGAATGCTTTACATTATCTGCAGCTGAGAAGTACACCTGACTCACTCATTCCCTTCTTGAAATTGAACTTTTACTCTTACTTATTCATCTATTTCTCTCATTTGGTGTGACGCTCCCATAGATGGCATTGACGGAAATCTGCTCAGTGTCTTCTGATAACACTAAATCAAAGAGGAAGTGGAAAAAATGATGTGTGACTGAAGAGAAATGAGGAAGTTAAATGAATTCTGCCCATGCAAAACAAGCAGACACTTCAGTGTGGTGTTGCTTTTTATCATATGAGATGCATTCACTCATGCAAGCACACATGAGCAGTCATTTTACACAGAATTAATTCACCAAAAGGTTATTGCTGAGAGACAGATGAGGCATTGTATGAATTAAAATGTCAAGAAGTTCATAGATAGCAGTCTCCTCTAATGCTAAAAGTCTCTCATGCTGTCTGCCCCTCTCTTCAGTCACACATGCTGGTGTCAGGTCTCGTACAGTCGAAGCTTGTTGCTAGCATCTGTTGGCTCATACATTTCACCTCCTGCCGGTAAAGATAGAGCTCTGCCATGTCTGACATTAAAAGGATTAAGTCTTTATTTCTGACTAAGTACAACATGTTTTCACCTTGTCCAGACGCATCTTAACTCCCCGATAAACAGGATATAAATATGATGTAAAAGCATAGTATTCATTCTTCAATGTTAAAACACACGTGTGCAGCACTGCGCATTGGTACAATCTCCAGGACACGGTGTGCACCGAGCTGTAATAGTTTCAGTGTTAATCCACCAAAACACAGACATTATTTGTTTGTGCAATCAGGTGGTAAATGTGGCAAAAAGGGAAAGCTGATGGTTGCTTTCAGTCATCACGAGGACACCTGCAGTGCTATAAATATGTGCTGCTATTTAACTTGAGTGTGTTTTTGTCACGCACTAAGACACACTAAGGCACCAGCTTTCTCTTCACTGTGGATGTGAACAGGATGTGGTGGGTTTCTCTTAGTGATGCATCGTTGCCGCATTTACTTACAGCTTTCACAAGATGCTTTTAATGTCATATTCCTACGCCATTTTGTGTTGTGTTATTTTTCTTCTTCAACCTCTTTTGAATGAGGTTTCAACTGGAAAGCATTGAGCACACACTATTATCATACTGAGCGTTTTCTGGTGCACTTACATGTTGGTAGATCATAGCTCTGTAAGATTATGTGCTCTACATGACGCCCGTGGCACTGACAGTCATACTAAGCCGCAACACATCATACAGAAGTGTAACAGAACTGGATTTCAGCATCAGTGTTTAAATATTCATATCAGCAGAAAAGAGCAGGGCTGGAATGAAGAAGGTTTTGTGCCATGATCAGAGGAAGTGGAGCCCTTTCATGCTGATCTACTCAGTTAGATACCAGCACACCGACATGACCCTGTTTCAGATGACTTTCCTACTTAATGTCACGTTCTACTAACAGAACACAACACCTATGGGAGAATGAGACCTAGATTTTATATCTCCTGGGTTTTGCGTAAAGAATATTGTGACAAATTGCTTTCAAATGTTTAATCTAGTGGCAAAGTGAGAGCAAAACATGATTAAAGTGTGTTTGTTACGAATATGTGTACTGCAGCTTTAAAAACTGCTCTGCTTTCAACATATGTTCAGTTTATGGCTCAGAACAGTGGTTCCCAACCTGGAGGGGCGCCAAAGATCGTAGGAGGGGGGGGGGGGGGGGGGGGGGGGGGGGTGGGGGGGGCGCCAGGCCTCAGATGATTTGAGGCCAAATATCATATTTAGACTTTTTGTTTCTTCTGCCCGTAAAGTGTCCAAACCAGGCTTTTCTGGATAAGCGCATTTTTAAAACATAGTCATTGTCCATGCCGGTTTCAGTTGGATTATTTGTCACAGTTGCTCCGATCAGATCGGTCTCCTCCATTTTGTAGATTATTTACGATTTTTGAATCCACATAAACACATCGGCAAAATCCGGTTTACTTTGATTATGTGTTTTAAACAGTTTAATCCTTTTGTGAATTGTTTCCACTTGCGCCCACCTTTAATTTCTTCATACAGCGGGAATCCAAATTAATTAATCCTGAGTCCAATAACCATCAAAGTCACTCCAATAGTGCTCCTTAATTACACTTTCATCCTCCTTTAACAAAATACTTCACAATCATCCAGTTTGTGACAGTAGTTGTAGCATTTCTGAGACTTTTAAACTTTAATTACCGCTGTTGCGCCCCCGCCCCCCCCCCTTGTGTGTGTGTGTGTGGGGCTCTTGGGAAAAAAGGTTGGGAACCCCTGGCTCAGAACACAGTCAAATGAGCTTAACCCAATGCAAGGTAACATGCAAGGAGTTTTTAAAAGCACCATGTTGCTGAGCACCATCCAATTGATGGTAAGGGCTTTTAGTAGTTCGATTTTAATGTGAAGAAACATTTTCTATCGTAGATCTTTTTACAGAAATACATGCATCCAGGTCGATTTCATGAGTACAATATTGTGGTGACCACCTATTTATACACTGGGTTCATGATTCATACATGGAACTACAGTTGGGGGTATTGTTCCCACACGGACAGTGGTTAGAGCGTTGGTCATCAGATCAAGGGGCGTTGGTGAACTCCAGTTCGAATCCCGCCTCGGCCGCCACTGCGTCAGGCCGTTGTGTCCTTGGGCAAGACACTTTACCCGCATTTGCTCCTGTGGGTAATGTCCGCAGTAATGACTCTTACATGTCTAATATGTGTAATGTGTAATTGTAAAGCGCTTTGAGCACCTGTAAAAGCGCTCTAATAAAAAATGTGATGCATTATTATTATTATTATTATGTGTTTTTACTATACTATGTTGTGTGCCCTCCTCTCTTCACTCTCTTCTTCCCGGACTGCAACCGGACAACATGACCTGAGCTGCTCTCAAATAAAGTTCCCTTTTGCACCTTCATTGCACCGCCTCTGACTCCCTATCTCTCGGCACTACACTGGTGACCCCGACAACGTCTCGAGAAGTCTCCGGGACGGGCCCGAACACGGCAAAAGAAACTCAGGTTTTTTCTCGAAATGCCGGGGATTTTTGGAATCGTCCGTGGCTGCCACCGGCACGCGGACTGAGGCTCGGTGCACGCCCCGCAGAAGAGCTGGGGACGTTGCTCGCCATTCCCGCATCGGCCTTCCAACCAACAGGGAGACGATGCACGACCTGCTGGGTAGGGATGAACCCGATTGTTTCTGTCCCGGCTGCGCTAGCTGACGACGACTAGCGGCTAACCGCGTTGACTAACAACGGCTAGCAGCTACCGTTGTCTGTCAGCTAGCGGCTAACGGCTAGCTGCTAACGGCTGTCGACATTCGTCGGTTAACATCTGACTGTTAACAATTTTTTTCCGGTGCCGGAGAGGAGGTTCGACCAGCCGGTTGACCTCGTGTGGACACTCACTTATTCACCACCTCGACGGCGGTTCCAGACGCCACTCACGTTTTCATCGGTGCCTTGGTGGCGCACTCCTGGACCCCGTCTCGCCTCGACAGTTTCAGACGTCGCCCATGCTGCCATCGGCCCGTGGGTGGTGCGCTCTGGAACCTGTCTGGCCTCTGTC